TTTCTACATACAACCATACTGTCATATTTCTACATACAACCATACTGTATATTTCTACATACAACCATACTGTCATATTTCTACATACAACCATACTGTCATATTTCTACATACAACCATACTGTAATATTTCTACATACAACCATACTGTCATATTTCTACATACAACCATACTACCCTATTTCTACATACAACCATACTACCATATTTCTACATACAACCATACTGTAATATTTCTACATACAACAATGCTGAGATAATATTTCCATGGAAAAACTTCCTGTGTTAATATATTTAAATACAAGAAAAATTTTAAACTATTAATTTCCAGTTGAAAAGAACTACCTGTCTATTACTTGGTATGCCTCTTCAGTTCCTATTATACAGAGGGCATTAACAGCAGCATAAGTAGGGGCAAGATGGGCTAGTTGGTAGGGTCCACCTTCACACAAGAAATATATTTACTATAACTTTGTCTGATTACCTCAACTGTTAAGTGATCAAAGAATCACTTAAAAGTAATAAATCAATTTATTAGGAATTATTAATCAAGTCCTTGATCAATATGCAAACATTATTCATTTCATTAAGATCATTTTTACTCTAACCTAGAAGATTAATTAGAATTTTTTTTACAAAAATAGATATTAAACACCATATAGAATATTTAAATTATAAAGTTTACCTCCAAATCCACCATCGGGATGTTGACATTTTGAAAGGAATGCAGAAACCCTGCAAAATATATCATACATGTCATTAAGTAACAAGGAAAACCAGATCAACAAACAAGAGCCTGTAACAGGTACGTTCAGTTAATACATAACCTGTAAGAAAGTTTACTAGGTATAGACATGTTATTCTGCTAAAGTTTAGAAAGCAGAGAAGCCAAATTCTTATATTTTACAAAGCAAAATTAATTTTACAGTTTTACAAAAATAAATTATTAGTAGTCAAAAGAACACATGATACTGGAATGTCAAGTGTTCACCAAATATACCAAAAACAAAAGAAAAATAACATAGTTCTTAGTACTAGTCAAACAGACCCATGATACTGAAGTGTCATGTGTTCACCTAAAATACCAAAAACAAAAGAACAATAATAAAGTACTTAGTACTATTCAAACAAACCCATGATACTGAAGTGTCATGTGTTCACTTAAAATACAAAAAACAAAAAATCAATAATATAGTACTTAGTACTAGTCAAACACACCCATGACAATAGTTTCAAGTGTTCACCAAAATTAACAAAAACAAAAGAACAATTATATAGTAATTAGTACTAGTCAAACAGACCCATGATACTAAAGTGTCATGTGTTCACCTAAAATACCAAAAACAAAAGAATAGTAATTAGTACTAGTCAAACAGATCCATGACACTAGTTTCATGTATTCACCCAAACTACTAAAAAAAACAATATAGTACTTAGTACTAGTCCAATAGACCCATGATATTGTAGTTTCATGTATTCACCTAAAATACCAAAAAAGAACAATATAGTACATAGCACTAGTCAAACAGACCCATGATACTCAAGTGTCAGGGTGTTCACCTAAAATACTAAAAACAAAAGAACAATAATATAGTACTTAGTACTAGTCAAACAAACACATGATACTAAAGTGTCAAGTGTTCACCTAAAATACCAAAAAAAAACAACGTAGTACTAGTCAAACAGACTCATGATACTGTAGTGTCAAGTGTTCAGCAAATATACCAAAAACAAAAGAACAATAATATAGTACTTATTACTAGTCAAACACACCCATGATACTCAAGGGTCAGGGTGTTCACCTAAATACTAAAAACAAAAGAACAATAATATAGTACTTATTACTAGTCAAACACACCCATGACAATAGTGTCAAGTGTTCACCAAATTTAACAAAAACAAAAGAACAATAATATAGTACTTAGTTCTAGTCAAACACACCCATGACAATAGTGTCAAGTGTTCAGCTAAAATAGCAAAAAGAAAAAAACAATAATATAGCACTTAGTACTACTCAAACACACCCATGACATTACTGTCATGTATTCACCTAAAATACCAAAAAAGAACAATATAGTACTTAATACTATTCAAAAAGACCCATTATACTGAAGTGTTATGTGTTCATCTAAAATTCCATAAACAAAAGAACAATAATATAGTATTTAGTACTAGTCAAACAAACACATGATACTAAAGTGTCAAGTGTTCATCAAATATACCAAAAACAAAAGAACAATAATATAGTACTTAGTACTAGTCAAACAAACCTATGATACTCAATGTCATGTGTTCACCTAAAATACCAAAAACAAAAGAACAATAATATGGTACTTAGTATTAGTCAAACAAACCCATGATACTGAAGTGTCAAGTGTTCACCAAATATACCAAAAACAAAAGAACAATAACATAGTTCTTAGTACTAGTACTGAAGTGTCATGTGTTCACCTAAAATACCAAAAAAAACAATATAGTACTTAATACTATTCAAAAAGACCCATGACACTGAAGTGTCATGTGTTCACCTAAAATTCCAAAAACAAAATAACAATAATATAGTACTTAGTACTAGTCAAACAAACACATGACACTACTGTCATGTATTGACCAAATATACCAAAAAAAAGAACAATAATATAGTACTAAGTACTAGTCAAACAGACCAATGATACTAAAGTATCATGTGTTCACCTAAAATACCAAAAAAAAACAATATAGTACTTAATACTATTCAAAAAGACCCATGACACTGAAAATAACAATAATATAGTACTTAGTACTAGTCAAACAAACACATGATACTGAAGTGTCAAGTGTTCACCAAATATACAAAAAACAAAAGAACAATAACATAGTTGTTAGTACTAGTCAAACAAACACATGATACTGAAGTGTCACGTGTTCACCTAAAATACAAAAAAACAAAAGAACAATAATATAGTACTAAGTACTAGTCAAACAGACCACTGAAACTAAAGTATCATGTGTTCACCTAAAATACCAAAAACAAATGAACAAGAATATGGTACTTAGTATTAGTCAAACAAACTCATGATACTCAATGTCATGTGTTCACCTAAAATACCAAAAACAAAAGAACAATCATATGGTACTTAGTATTAGTCAAACAAACCCATGATACTCAACGTCATGTGTTCACTTAAAATACCAAAAACAAAAGAATAATAATATGGTACTTAGTATTAGTCAAACAGACCCATGATACTAAAGTGTCAGGGTGTTCACCAAATATACCAAAAACAAAACAACAATAATATAGTACTTAGTACTAGTCAAACAGACCCATAATACTGAAGTGTCATGTGTTCACCTAAAGTACCAAAAACAAAAGAAAAGTAATTAGTACTAGTCAAACAGACCCATGACACTAGTTTCATGTATTCACCCAAAATACTAAAAAAGAACAATATAGTACTTAGTACTATTCAAATATACCCATGATATTGTAGTTTCATGTATTCACCTAAAATACCAAAAAAGAACAACGTAGTACTAGTCAAACAGACTCATGATACTGTAGTGTCAAGTGTTCAGCAAATATAGCAAAAACAAAAGAACAATAATATAGTACTTAGTACTAGTCAAACACACCCATGACAATAGTTTCAAGTGTTCACCAAAATTAACAAAAACAAAAGAACAATTATATAGTACTTAGTACAAGTCAAACAGACCCATGATACTCAAGTGTCAGGGTGTTCACCAAAATTACCAAAAACAAAAGAACAATAATATAGTACTTAGTACAAGTCAAACAGACCCATGATACTGAAGTGTCATGTGTTCACCTAAAATACAAAAAACAATAATATAGTACTTAGTACAAGTCAAACAGACCCATGATACTGAAGTGTCACGTGTTCACCTAAAATACAAAAAACAATAATACAGTACTTAATACTAATCAAACAGACCCATGACACTAGTGTCATGTGTTCACCTAAAATACCGAAAAAAGAACAATAATATTGTACTTAGAACTAGTCAAACAGACCCATAATAACAAAGTGTCATGTGTTCACCTAAAATGCCAAAGAAGAACAATAGTATAATACCTCGTACTAGTCAAACAGACCCATGATACAGAAGTGTCATATGTTCACCTAAGATATCAAAAACAAAAGAACAGTAATATTGTACTTAGTACTAGTCAAACAGACCCATGACACTAGTGTCAAATGTTAACCTAAAATACCAAAAACAAAAGAAGAAGAATATAGTACTTAGTACTTGTCAAACAAACAAATTATACTGTAGTGTCAAGTGTTCACCAAATATACCAAAAACAAAAGAACAATAATCTTAGTACTAGTCAAACAGACCCATGATATTGAAGTGTCATGTGTTCACCTAAAACACCAAAAACAAAAAACAATAATATAGTACTTTGTACTAATCAAACAGACCCATGACACTAGTGTCATGTGTTCACCTAAAATACCAAAATAGAACAATATAGTACTTAATACTATTCAAACAGATCCATGATACTGAAGTGTCATGTGTTCACCTAAAATTCCAAAAACAAACGAATGATTATACAATACTTAGTACTAGTCAAACACACCCATGATACTGAAGTGTCACGTGTTCACCTAAAATACCAAAAACAAAAGAACAATAATATAGTACTTAGTACTAGTCAAATAGCCCCACGATACCGAAGTGTCACGTGTTCACCAGGATTAACAAAAACAAAAGAACAATAATATAGTACTTAGCACTAGTCAAACAGACCCATGATACTGAAGTGTCATGTGTTCACCTAAAATACATAAAACAAAAAAACAAGAATATAGTACTTAGTATTAGTCAAACAGACCCATGATACGGAAGTGTCATGTGTTCACCTAAAATACCAAAAAAAAAGAACAATAATATAGTACTTAGTACTAGTCAAACACACCCATGATACTGAAGTGTCACGTGTTCACCCAAAATTAACAAAAACAAAAGAACAATAATATAGTACGTAGTACTAGTCAAACAGACCAATGATACTAAAGTATCATGTGTTCACCTAAAGTACCAAAAACAAAAGAACAATAATATAGCACTTAGTACTAGTCAAACAGACACATGATACCAAAATATCATGTGTTCACTTAAAATACCAAAAACCAGCACTACAGCCATATCTGCTTATTAGCACCACATCAACATATGATTACCAGTACTACAGCTTTTTTTGTCTGATTACCAGTACCAGAGTTATATCTGATCACCAGTGCCTCAGCACTACAGCTATATCTAATATATTTCACTTGTAGTTAGCTTTGTCTTGAAATTGGCTCCAAAATATTCTCTAATTTGAGGATAAAAGAAATCTTACTTGGATTTTGTTTCATCACTGATGGGTTCATCTAAAAGTTCTAAACTATGAAGAATCCAATAACATAGCCATGGTCGACTAGCGTCCAAACACTGTGAACAAAGTAAAAAACTAAAGTCAAGTATACAATTAAAAACCATGAAGAATCCAGTAACATAGCTATGGTCGTCTAGCATCCAAACACTGTGAACAAAGTCAAAAAATTAAATTAAATTAAAAACCAGCTATTTATACACTAATGCACTAATGAAAATCTAGTTTTTTTTTACTTTTTGTAATATGGGCTATAAAGAAAGGAAATGATGCAATCAACATTTTTTGCACCTAAAAACGTTAGTTTATGTCATGAAGAGTAATCTTTACAGACTTCAACTTCTGTAGGTTCTAATCTGTTTGGTTTCAGTTTATATCATGAAGGGTAATCTTTACAAATCTTAACACTCTCTTAAGTCAAACATGTATTTCCAATAATACTTACCTCCACTCACACTACAGCCATTACTCAACTGCTTAGGCATTTTGCCTTTGCCCATCTAAGCATTGGTCTGAATTTTTCTTGCTTGCTCCAGTAATTTTCCCCACTTAATTGCTCTTGGCAATATTTGTCAGTATCTTATCTACATTAATGCACCCTCTGTCCTGGTACCGTATATAAGCACCTCATTCAGATAATATTATAATTTTTCAAGACTGACCCAATCTCCAGTCTCTAACAACTGGCTCTTAGTGGGGAGAAAGGGTGGGAGAGTGAGAGCGTAGGTAAAGATTATTGGAAATACGTTTTTAATTTAAGAAAATGTTAACTTCCAAAACATACGTACCTCCTGTCACACTACAGCTAGAATCTCACACTGATAGGGTGGAGGTGCTGGTGATGGCATTATCCATACAGAATGTGTCTGTATAGATCGTAGATGTGCCAATAGAAGATTAGCACCCTAATGTGGGAACCACACTACATCCAGAACAGGTATGCTCTTAAATCATGTACTGTGGGTGGAATTTTGCATGATTTATCATGACTATTGTCCAGGCCACAACCAGATAGCTGCAGTTCCACTTCTCAGGGTTAGAATTATAACACCATGGTCCCTAAATTTCACGTTGGTGGCAAGGGCATTTGGACTGCAATGTATACATGCTTGTATATATATACATACCCCAACTTGTAACTATAAAGCGATGCGTTAGAAGCCACCGGAATCACAAGAAGGTAAGCAACACCAAAGTGGATAAACCCTCTCCTCATCCTGGAGATGTCTGAAAGGCAACACCCCAAACTCGGAATGATGGGATCCTGTATGCATTATTTAACCTGAGGAAAAAGAACTCATCTGGTTTGGTATTATGAACACTCATCCTCAATCCTCAAGTATGTGGACAAGGTAAATTCCATTTGTCCCTAGAATTATGGGAAAGATGTGAAAAAAACTGTGCTCAACCAAGGACCCGGGATGGGACCACTCTGCATTTGTAATTACGAGACAATGGACCCTCTTCTGTGAACACTGTACTGAACCAATATTGATAAAAAATAAAGGCCACGCTCAACCCAACCAGAGAGCCAAGCGTCAAATCTGAACTGGTTTTACGAGTAGGCTCTCACATAATCTGGTGCCTCTCCAATCAACATCTGAGAAAGAACATCCAGGGTCCCTGGTAGAAGGACCCCCAACTTTTCCCTCTTCTCGAAGAGTGGAGGAAATTCACTCAAACAATCTGGAGGAATAACCTCTGTCCACCACTCCAGTGATTGGAAACTGGGTATGGTAAAGATTCCCTATGTCCACTAGTAGAATCTGGGAGGGGGGGGGGGGTAATGTGCATTAGGAAAAAAGTTCTGGAAACAGTACAATAGGTGAACCTAGT